GATCAATGTGTGGATGAAAACGAGGATGTGCTTAAACTATACATGTATCATAATAATATATAATAGATAATATCAAGTTCTTATATAGCTGTTTTGATTAAAATCAATGAAATAAAATAATTTTGAATAAAGCAAGTGTGTCAAAGATTAATTGAAATAATTTTAATAAAATACTTTTACAAGATTAAATGTAAATAATCACACACAAAACAAAAAAATACGAACAAGACATTTTATATATTTCAAATAAAGTTAAGTTATTTTACTTCTTCTTTTTAAACAATATTTTCTTTTGTTCGTTTTGTTTTTTTGTGATCATGATGACGATGACGACCTGGATGATGATCAGGTTGTTGTTTTTTTAACGGAATATCTTTTGATGTTTTTGAAGGGGTTTTTTTAGTATGTTTTGTAGGTCTAACTGATGTTTTAATTCGTTTTTTGATTTTAATTATATAAATTGTTAATCCAATAACTCCAATAATTCCTAATGCAGCTGTAACTCCTAAACCAATTGCAAGACCAAGGACAACCTCTAAACCATCTAAATGATTTTTATTTTTTATTTTTTAAATTATTTATTCAAAACGAATTACTTACATTTTAAAGGAGCTTCAGTTATTGTTCCGTCTATTATTTTAAATTTAATTAATTAGAAATCAATAATAAAAAGAATAATTCTTACTTTTATCTGTAGTACTTGTAATCGTACTCGTAGTAGTAGTGATTGTACTACTAGTAGCTTCATTAGGAGCAATACTATCAATATAATTACTATAATTATTATTATCAGTAGTAGTACTATCTGCAGTAGTAGCAGTAGGTGTTGTCTGCGGTGAAGGAATTGTCTCAGTTGGAGGACCATTTGAAGCTTCTTCTGGTTGAATTGAGCTTCTAAATAAATTTAAATTTTTAGTCAATGGTTTGTTAAATAGAATAAAATATAAATCGAAGTATTTATTTCAATAAACTAATTGACAATAAAAAAGATTAATCAATGTGATTGAATAAGAAAATTGACGACGCTCAAAACAAAAAAATGTAATAAGAAAGAGAAAATATTATATTGATCAATGTTTGATTCTATTTATAACTGTTTTGTATATATTCAATCTAATCTATATGGATGATGAATGAATAAAACGTAAACTTACTCTTTTATAGTAAATGATATAGTGGCATCACTCATACTAGGTTCAGTTGATCCAGATGTATCTTGATCAGCTAACTTTGGAATAAACTTTAAAATAAAATTGATTTAATTAGAAAATGATATGTTTATATATATCATACAAATCGAAGATCATCTTTAGCTTCATCTGTTGAAAAAGTCTCTCCTAAAAAGATAAGTAAATAATTATCTAAATAAAAATCTATCTATTATTCAACTATGAATAGGTTCTGTTAGAGTTATTTGATCGAAAGCAACATAAAATGGTTGAGAAGGATTTGACATATCATGACGATATATTTCATATATTATCTAAACATTTATAAAAACAAAAAGATTTTTTTTTTTTATGAAAAAAAAAAAGTTGAAAATACTTGAAATGATTTTGAATTAGTATTAAAATAGTGTTGTACAAAATTCCATCGATTAAAATTCGTATGAATTTGATCAATTTGACCAATAAATATTTTTTGACCTTGTTCATTAAAATAATAAGTTGATAAAGAAACTGTTTCATTTCGTGTTAAATAATAATAATACGTTAATTGAATTGAATTTTTCGTTGAATTTATAATTGGTGTTATAAATTGTCGATATTGAATATTTTCAAGTAATAATAATTGATATTTACCTGAACAAAAATTTGTTTAACTTTCTTTTTTTTTAAATTAAAAAAAAAAACTTTGTATTAAACCTTGTTGACATTCATCTTCGAATCCATTTGTTGTTTGACATTTACTTGAATTTGATGAATATTTATAACAAAAATAAATATCATTTAAATTCGATTGTTTTCTATAAGGTAATTTACAAAAATATCCATTTTTAGTTGGTTTTACTAAAATATTTGTAATATTTAAAAAATAAAATAAAATAAAAAATATTATTTACATATAGATGATACATCAGACAACGGTCGATTTGGTTTATCATAATATGATATATCAATAGATGCATCAATAATCATTTGTTTCATACCATCAAATGATTGTAAACGACATGAATCAGTCTCATCATATGTACATTCAAATAATATTTTATTTGTTTGAATTTTTTGAATATTGATTATTAATATTAACAAAATAACTTTAAACAAAAACATGAATTTAATTTAATATTTAAATAAATTTCATTTAACTTACATTTAAACATGTTTTATGTTACCTTAGAAATAAATTTAAACAGAAAGTTTTAATATAAGAATAAATTGAAAATAGAAACTATTTGTTTCTTCAATAAAGATTACAAATGATAATATTTTATCTTATCGTACAAATAATTTATTTAATAACAACAGCAAAATATTCAAGGAAAAAGTCTACTTTATCAAGGACAGTATAGAATACTCTTTAAATAAAGGAACACAACAAAATACTTCAAGATAACATCGAAAAAGTTGACTCATTTCAATGCAAATATTTATTATTCATTTTTATGATAGGAAAATAATTTCATTTGTGAATACAGTTAAAAGTTACATATTTGAAAAACAAAAATAGATCAACATATTTTTATTCATATAAACATAAATTACAATTATTTTTATCTCTTTAAATCTTAATTATATTCAATAATCATCGATTGATTTATAACATATAGAAAAACCTCTCTATTGTGAACATGACTAAGACCATCTAAAAGCGTTCACTATACGGAGAAATTCACTATAGAGAGGTGATACATAAATTGCTGTGAAATGTAGTAAAGATTGCAGAATATTTTATTCTAAATTAGTCCCAGATAATAACCGTGAGGAAATATTATTTTATATTGTTATGTTTTATGACAAATAGAGGTGGAGGTGTTCTGAAATTTTAAGGAATATTTTATTGATCTCGACATTATTGAAAGAGATACCCTATTTTGCGTAGGTTTCTTCTCTTCTTAGTTTTGATATATTTTTGAATCCTGAATTGTTGATTAATTTCCTAATTTGTTTAAATCTCCTTTGAGTTGGAGAGACAATTAACGTGGTAAGATTGCTTGCAAATAGATACGTAGCGAAACCTCCGATACAAGAAGTTATATCTATATGATAGAGAATGAAGATGTACGCGTTCAGAGAGCTATCTTGAGAGAGATCCATATCTATTTTGAATTCATTTGATTTATAGTTCACAAAGCAAAACAAATACTCTTCTATCATTTAATCAGTTAACTATTAAATTTAAAATTATGACAAGTATTTGCGTTCGAAATAATTTGACAAGAAGAGCCACGTACCAAATAAGATCATATGTTTTTTTTTGTTGGTATATTTCAGAATACATAGCAAGTAGCAAGATCGGTCGGGTTTGTTCACAATTGAATATTCCTGTTTTCAGTTGATTTAAGATTTGGATTTCAGTCGATTTCCAAATCTTTGAACGTTGGCTATTGACTAAGCATTCATTAAAGCATCTACCTACTGATTTTTTTGATTTCAAGATCTTGTCATATTCTACTTCAATTACAGTCGATGAAAAAACCTTTTGAATCGCTGATAGATACTGATCTTAACGATTAGATTTCTATTTAACCATTGAGAAATTCTATATATTACGATCTGAACGTTTTATATGAATTCCTAGCATTGAATAGATATGCCATTTGGTTGTCTTCACTCCATTTTTTTTAGCAAATTCTCTTCGTTTATCTGTTTTTTGGCTGTTTCATTGCGTGGTAGCTACGTTGAAATAGAGGCTAAAACAGGTTGAGAAATGGTAAACCGGTTCTGACCGGCTCTGATTTGATTCTTGAAACTTGTCTCTTGTGTGAGCTATTTGCCAGCATTTTGTGCAATAAATTAATGTGTTTGTTGGTGTATATAGTATGACTGAACAGATTCTATTTCCTATGTCAATATGACCTAGTCAGAATTGTCCATTGCATTCTCTTATGAATAAACTATTGTTTCGGATCACACAGTATGAAGTAATCAGCTCTATGATGTATGCCCAAATTGAGCTTGTTTTCCACGAAAAGAACAATGGAAATAGCCAATCATGGTTAATCAGTATTAGAGAAAGTAATATTGAAGCATAGTAAATTGTGAATCACTGTTTGTTTTAGTTGATCTCGTAGCATGTTATATTTATTATGATTGTAAGAATAGGTTTATTTAAAATGTTGATTATTATCTGCATTGAAGCTTGAAGCTGTTTGCTGCTTTTGATTAGCTTGTTGTTTACTGTTTATCGAATGATTTCTCTTTTGATTTATTACATCCTATTGTAATAAAATCATCATTATCGTTCGCCTGTTATTTTTGTTTTCAGTGATATGTCGTACAAGAGTGTTCTATGGAAGATGACGTTGTCATGTCTCTACCATTTGGTACTGTCTTTCATACGTCTGACTGTTCTTCACAAGATGAAATGTTCTATTTTGTTGATAATTTATTTGTTTGTTGGTGAATAGTTTGTTCGTGGTTGAGTAGCATCTTATCTCATGTAATCAACATACTGAATCGAAATTAAGTTTATATCATAGTATTACCCGAAACTTGATGATTGATATCGAAAACTTGTATTGTTACAGGAATAATCATTATCTGCTAATGTATAGTATTTACTTGTAGTTGTATCGATGATTATCTGTATTGTATGTTTGTTTGCCAAAAGCGCAGAGCAAAAGAAGAAATGAATTCTTTGTTTGAAATGTCTTTCAATAAATATATTTCGTATAATTTACATTATATTATAGTAGAATGTTGCATTTTTTCGAAGATGAATACATATCTATTCAATATATCAATCATCATGGATTCTAATGCATTTATTCTCAGATATTCATCATATAATCAACATAAATTATCATGATATATTATGTGTTGAGAATTGATGGCAAAAGCAGCTCCACTGACAAGTCTTTTTAATATAAATCACTATGTTAACAATTTTTATTTCATACGAGTTTTCGTCTAATTTTCATTGTTTCGACAATGTTTTATTTATTTTATTTAAAATTTTTTGCTTATATGAAATAGCTATAATTATAATGATTTTGTATGGAAATATCTATTCATATATTGCTTTAGTTGTAAAAAGAAAACAAACAAACTGATCACAGAATCGACTCGTTAAAAGAGAATTTCTTTCATCGCAGTAATATATATTTGTTACATATCTCGAATGAATCGTTTCACACAGTTAAACTATTTTTAAAATATTTTTAAAATAAATTGATACCATTTAAATAGACCGTTGATAACAATAAATAATAAATATCTATCTTCAAAAATAATTATATGACTGTAGTATATCATTTTATATTAAACTTCTTTGAATATGATGTTTAGATTAATACCTATTTAGTTCTATTACATATGACTTCATCATTTAAATAATAATTAAAAAGTGTTGATATTTTCACGAAATAAATATCTATCACTCTCATTCTTCTTCCTCTATTTCAAATTCTTCCCAGTTTTCGTTTCTTTTTATATAATACACTTCTAGATGATTCAAGACTTATTGATACACTAAATAACATTTGACATTACCTGACAAAAGCTAAACGTGAAGACTAAAAAAAAGTATCTTGTCGACTCTATTTAATATAATTTCATTGACACATTAATTATTTAATATGATTGAAGACGATAATTCGAACATTTTTTTTTATTTATGTGCAAATATTTCGTTAGATTATTAATTTTATGATAGTGAACATTTAATTAAGAGCATGATTGATTTGAGTTGATTATTTACTAAACTAATATCATTTTTCAAGTGAATGTCGATTTGAAAAAAAAAAGAAAGAAGAAAAACATGATTCTTGTCTTAAATAATCAGCTCGAATTCATCCGATAGGATATTACTGTCAGATTTCATAAATCTAATAGAATTAGATTTAACACTAAGATATTATTAAATATAATGAATTCTGATTGTATTAATCTATCAAATTTCCACTATTTGTTTTTGTCATATTAATCATCAAGAAAAGCTTTTTTTTTCTGATCTAAAATAAATAGAATAAATCTAATATGAAAAATATTTTTCTATGATTAACCATCCTTATATAAAACAAATAATATATAATATGTCAAAATGCATAAATTATTTGAAAATTTTTCATATTTATAAATAGAATATCTCAAAAAGACTATATTTATATAATTCTGCTACTAAAAAATCAATAAATGATTTATATTGATATTCATCTATATAATCAATTAGAAATTGAAATGTCAATATCCAAAAGTAAAACTAAAAAATCCACTATTCGGAAGAAAGATGATAATGAGTCTAGTGAATTTTGAAAATAATATATTTTTTCTATATGATTATATAAAATAAACAATAAATAAAATAAATATTCTATAATTGTTTTTTTTTGAGATAAATCTATTTAAATGTTTATCTTGTCAATTATTGATTGAATATTTAATAAATATGTCAAAAATAATAAAAGACAATGTTTTGTTGATTTATGGTTAGTTGAAATAGAATAATAGATATTTATCAAAGAGTTAGATATCTTTTGTTTTGTAATAATTAACATCCGTTGAATATAAAAAAGTCATTTAGTTGAACATAATTAATAGACTTATCTTATTATTTGATTTTCAAAATGAACAAACAAACTATAAATATATTGATAAGATAGAGATAAATCTAGTTAGTCGTTTGTTGATTGAGATTTGTTAGATGAAAGACAAGCGAAAAATCTCATTCGATACAATTGAATAATTCAATTGAAACATCGAACTTTCTTCTTCTATTTATCAAATAAAACAAGTCATTTTAAGAAAATGAAAATTATTATTCAACTATTTCATATTGACAAACAAATTTGTCAATATTTTACTTAATTGAAACAATTTCATTATAATAAATACTTATTTTATCTCATTTATCTGATCTTAGTTGAATTCTTTTTTTTTTTTTGAAGCTACTTAAACATATTATCATTTAATTATATTCAATTAATTATTATTCTTTAAAATTTATTCAATGAAATTTATTGATAATAATAGTCTAGAAAAATTTTTTTTTGTTTTTTTTTTTTTAAAGTAAATAAATCTATCCTATGAGATATTTTAGAAAAAAAAAAAAAAAAAAAGCATTGTTCAAATAGTGTTATTATACATTTAATTTTCCTTTAAGAAAATAAGTTGTCATTCGACTTTTTCCTTTAACATCAATTTCACCACGACGTTCAAATATATATTTATCTTTTAATGCAAATGCAACATGTTCTGGAACTTGAATTTCTCCTTTTTGTCCAGTTGAATCCATTCGTGAAGCAACATTAACTGTATCTCCCCATATATCAAAAAATAATTTCGTTGTACCAATAACACCAGCTGTCACCGGTCCAAAATTAAGTCCCATTCGAAGTTCAAATGCAAAATTTAAAAGTGCTTCATTAAATCTATGCATAGTTTGTTGAAATGCTAATGCAAATTCAATAAGATCACAAACACATTCTAAAATATTAAAAAGAAAATTTTTTAAAACAAAAAAAATATTGTTTTTTTTTTTTTCTTTTAACCAAGTGAATTTTGATTATTTGACTCTGTTTGTAATCCTGAAGCAGCCATAAATGTAGCTCCAATAGTTTTAATTTTTTCAATATTTGAAAATCTTGGATCAAGAAATAATTCTTCAATATCTCCATAAAATTCATTTAAAATTCTAGCATAAAATTTTCCACCTTCATATTGTTCTTCATACATAACATGAAAATTAACTAATGATGCAAAAAGAACAGCAACACATGGATGATTACGTGAATATGATCCACCTAATTGACGTAATGGTTCAATAACATGTTCAGGTAAAATATTTCTTAAAAGCCAATCAGCTCTTTCACGTTCTTTTTCAATTTCATGTCTTTGTTCAGATGATTTATTAACAACATAATATTGACAACGACAAGCAACTTCAATTTGACGATTTATTCCATATAATATTATTAATGATATCGATATACAAACAATTATGTTCACTATTGATGATCCTATATATTAACAAATTTATCCTTTGTTTTTATTTTTTTTTATTTTTAATAAGTAGAAGAATAAAAAACAAAAAAAAAATTCTACTAACTTGTTATATCATATTTAAATAAAATAAATGTTAAATAAATTGATATTGATATAATTGCAAAAAAAATTTTAATTAAATGAGATATTGATCGTGATAATGTTAAATAAGTTGAAATAAATATAAGAAATGCAAAAAATGTTATTGAATATTGATCGATTGTTCCAATTAATATTAAAATAAATGGTGAAAATAAAAAATATATTGAAAATAAATATTTAAATATTGATATATTTAAATAAATATCATGATAACGTATTATAAATAATGTTAATATTAATTGTATTAATATAAATATTGATATTATAATTGATGATAATATACGTTTTGGTAAATAAATTAATAATATTACATATGTTATAATTGATAATATGATTTCAATTATAATTAATTTATATTGAAATATATTCGTTGAATATGTTTTTTCTAATGATTTATCTTTATATTTTAATGTTAATTTATTTAATGGAATAATTAATTGATTTTCTTCATTTTCAATTTTAATATCATTTAAAATATTTTCATTGACTTTATTATTTGTTGTTAAACATTGTTCAAGATCATCTTCACTTACTGTTGCACGACGAGCTTGTTCAACTTCTTCTAATAATGGACTTGAAACATTCTTTAATTAATAATTTTTTGGAAAAATTAAATTTTTATAAATAAATAAATAAATATCTTACTGGTATTGTTGTTTGATTTGATAGAAAATTATTATCATTTAATGGAACAGATAATGATACACCTGATGCAACAGCAAATGCAGCAGCAGTTGCTAATGTCATTTGTGGAGGTTTTCGAGTTATTCGATGACTTAAACGTCTTTTACCAATAAAATATGTTTTTATTTCATCTATATATATACTATTTATTTATTTATTATATATTTATTTAATAAAAATAAACCTTTTTCTGTTAATTTAAATGATGGACCTTGTTCAAATTGAAATTCATCTGATTTAACTAATAAATATGTTGATTCTGTGATATGAACATAACCTAAATATATTTATTTAAATATTTAAGAATAAAAACAAAAATTCAAATAAATATTTACCAGGTTTTCCCGTTGATTCCATTTTATTAGCTAAAGTAACATCATTTGAAAAAATATCAAATTTAAATTTCTTTGTTCCAACTATTCCACAATTAACTGAACCCGAATGAACACCAACTCTCATATCAACTTGTTCATTATTATCTTGATCAAATTCTTCAATAGCATTAATCATAGCTAAACCCATTAAAAGACAAGATTTAGCATGATCTTTACAAGGTTCTGGACAACCACTAACACAATAATAACAATCTCCTAATGTTGCAATTTTTTCACATGACATTTGAACACATAAATCATCAAATCTTCCATATAAATCAGATAATAATGAAACTAATTGTGATGCACTTTTATTTGATGACATATGAGTAAAACCAACAATGTCAGCAAATAATATTGAAACATTTTCCATTCTTTCAATATGTAATGGACGAAAAATAGTTCTTCGTAAATCATCTTCATCGTTATGTGATAAATTAAGCTTTTGTAAACGTTCACGAAATACATCAAAATCTTCCATGATTTCTTTAGAATATTTTTGTGGCATTAATGAATCAATCATTTTTGATATTAATGTATGTTCACTTAATAATGAATTACGAACAATAGCATCTGAGTTAGATTCAAGAGAAAATAAACATAATTTATTTTTCTTTTTAACATATAATTTAAACTTACTTTTACATAATTGATTATATGCTGAATGCATTGTTATATCTAATAAACGATTTAAATAAATTCCAATTAAATTAATAATTAATAATAGTATTAAACGCATTTTTAACTGTAATGCCAGTATTGTTATTATAATTGATATTAATATTGAAAAGAGAAGTGGAAAATTTGGTAATGTATATATTAATATAATTAAAAAATAAATATGACAATCCATTGGATATAAACAAGTTAATATTATCAATGGACATAAACATATAAATGATATTATATTTGCTAACAAACGATTTCGTATAAAATTGATTATTATTAATGAAAGAATATTTAAACATAAACTTGAACATAATAATGATAAACATAATATTGTAGAAGAATTTATTTCAAATTTTAAATAAAATAGTTCAAATATCTTAAGTATAGAATGACTAATTAATATAATGACTAATAAACGATGATTTGTTGGATAAATATTTGTTAAATAACTTAATTGATATTTTTTTTCTATTAATGATGACTCAAATTGTGGATAAAATATTGATTTGAGCAAGTTTTTTTCATGAGGAAAAACATCGGTCGACAAATGTCGAGTTTCCATTGCACCAACCACCGACTAGAACGACTAACTCTAGACCATCTAGAGTAACTAAAAAAAGATAGAGAAAAGCAAAAAAAACAGAAAACAACAAAATGAATCGTCGTATCCTTCGAACCAAGCATAAAAAAAAAAGGAAAAGGAAAGAAGGAAAAAAAAATCATTTCTTTGTCTAATAAGATTTTATCTCTCTTCTATAATAAATTTATGTCCAACTCAACTATCGTCAATTCTTCTCAATTTAATAAGAATAAATTATCCGATCAAGAAAAAAATAAAATAGTCAATTTTTTTTTTGTTATATTGATTCAAAATAAACTCTTGAAGAAAAAATAACGATTTGAAAAATTTTCATATAAGATCTTCTAAAAATGTTCCACTATTTAAAACAGTCGAATAGAAAACATTTCTCACAAAACAATTAGTTGTTTTTTTTTTAAATAAAACAAAATTCAATTATAAAAAAATAATATAGTCAAACAACAATTCATTTTCAATTCAATAATAAAAATATTATTCTTTATTATAAACAATATTAGAAATATTTTAATCAACTGTTCAAAACAAAAAAATCTTGATCTATTAGTAGATGAATTCTAACGAGAACATTTTCCTTTTAGATTAAACTTCTTTTCATTGATTAATCGAAAATTTTCTTTTTTAGGAAACTTTATATTCAATAGAAAAATTATATAAAAACAAAAGAAAATATTTTCAGAGTTTTGAAATAGAATTCCAAAAATCAGGTTATCAAACATAAGATTAATCAAACGGTTTTAACAAATAAACCAATAAAAAATGATTTTTTTTTGAATACATATCAATGTGTTGATCATCATATTTTGTTTTTTATTCTATTCAATTAAATGAATTGTTATTCGAATGACATATTTCGGAAAAACATCACTTCCTAATTCAATCAGTATATCTGCAATTTAAAAGAAACCCGCTTTCGTAATTTACATCAGAAAAAAAAAGACGGAATAGAAAAAACGAATTTATTGGCTAACAACCACATGACTATTTATAGGGTAGACTCGTTTGGTGGTGTTGATATACTTGTTACTCGATAACGTTTTTGCTGTTATGTTTGTTTTTTTATGTATATAAATAATATAGGTGTGCTTAAACTGTACACGTATACTAATTATTTATTCAGAGTAAAGCAAATTTTAAATAAATAAATATGAAAATATTTCAAATGAGTTTTCTTTTAGTATTAATTCTACAATGAAATGAATGATAAATTAAATTATAATAACTGATATTTTTTATATATAATAATATTGATAAAATGATAAAAGATGAAATTTTGAATGATTAAATTACTAAATAATTTTTTCATAATTAACTAAATATTGCTTAATTATTTAAATGAATAATATTTTCTTTGCAAAATATTGCACACATATTTTATGAAATTAACAAATACAAAAAAAAAGTTGCTAACTTTAACAGAAAATAGATTAAAGAATTTTTGAGAACAATAAAAAACGATTGATGTTGTTCGAGTTTTGTGTATAAGATAGATATTTCTATTAAAAAAAATAAATCAATTAGAAATTCTTTTTCAATTTCAAACAAATTCAATAAAGAGAATTCGATTTATTGTTCATGAATTATTACACTTTCTTTTGTTCACTTCAATTTTGTAAGATTTTATTCAATTATTCGTCTAGCCTTTTGATAAAATTCTTCATAATTTGATTATAATCAATATTTTCTTTATTGATCAATGACCTATCAGATTTTTATTTTCAATTCTTCTGTATAAAATCATTTTTCTCAGTTAAAGGTTGACTTTTATTGAACAATACAAAATAATATTCTTAATAAAAATCATTCATTAGATTCGAACTTTTCTAGACCAAGTTTTTCTTAATAGGTTTTGTTTGATAAATTCACAAGCTAAAGTAATATATTAATCGATTATGAAAATAGCAAACTGAAATACTCTCAATTTACATTAATCAATTTTTTTTTCATAGCTTTGACTTCATTATAAGAGATAATTTAATTTTTCTAGCTGATATCACTCAAATTTAGATAAAAGAAATTACAAAAATAAATAATTAAACGAGAAAAATAAAATTATTTTCAAATAGAATCGTTTGAAACAAAAAAAAACAAAAGGTATCTTCATCTTATCAATCAATATTTTATTTTATTTGACAAACATAATTTTATCTATTTTAATCGATAAAAAATATTAAACTTTTTAGAAATTATTAATAAAAAATGTATAATTATTAAAAGAAACATTTCAAATGTTTTCATTAATATGAACATAAATTAGTTTAAATCTCTTTATTTAAATAATATAAATTTATGATTAGAAAGTATTTTTTTTTTCTTCAATTATCCTTTATATAAATCAATAATGATTTAATGTTCTTGTCAAAGTGGAAAAATCTTCTTAAACATTTATTGTGTTTTAATAAATATTATTGACCTTGATCGATTGAGAACGATACTAGAGGTGATACTTTCATTTTATATTGATTTTCAGATATAAAAAAAAAACAGGAAAGGAAACAAAACTTAATAACTTTCATCTTGATAGAAAAATAAAAAGTCTCTCTATTATCGATTATAACTCGAATAAAACAATCATTATAATAAGAATGACTCTAAACAATACTTATTTTCTTTATTTTTCTCATTCTTTTTTTTTTATAACAAGAAAAAGTATTAAGCTTTATTACGATTCACATTTTCAAGTAGTTTTTCATGTTTGTCAAGAAAAAGAAATCGATTAGAAGGATATTTTTTCCTTCTCTTTTTTCATATTCAAGTTCTTTTTTTTTTTACTAATTTCATTCAACTTCAAAATAAAATGATCCAAGCTTTTCACGACCTTGAAACGATACAATGTGTTCAACTATCGTCTTTCTCTTATTGCTAAGAAGATAAATCTATACAACAAAGAAATTATGACGCATTTACGAGTTTCTACTGTCATTTTCATAATAGCATGTATGCCAAAAAATGTTGAATAGCTCTAGACCGTAAACATTCTACAAAGTTTTTTTACTCAACTCAACTCGGATAGGTAATAAAACATAGGCCTTTATCTATGTTAAATTTCCTGGCAGTACTTCTGTGTTTTTTTTTCCAGATAGGTCGAAAGTCAATAGATAAAGATTAGCAAAAGAGATGATGTTTAGATTCTTCCTCTTTTCTTTTTCAGCAAGTGACCTAAAATATTCCGTATAAGTTTCCAAGAGATTTGTGTGTAAAATTGCCACAAAAGAGAAATCGGTTGTCACATTTTAAAACCAATAGATTTTCTAACATCCCTCATTCTTGCAGAAAGACGTTTTATAAGTCATTCCATTTATGATGAAACGATTTCGATCGAGGTTTTTTTTTCATCAGTTACTCATTGCGACTCGGTGCTTTTCATATTAGTCAAGGTCACACACATTATTGACGTTGTTATTATATTATTGGCTTAGATAAATAAATATCTGGTAATGAAACATCTAATAACATCGAAAAATATGTAACATATCTTTTGATAGACTAATATTTATACTTAGTAAAACACGAACTATTATCTGAAATACGTTTGTATATATCAAAAAGTACCATCAGACATGCATTTGAGAAAGCAGCTGCAGTTACGTTTGAATATATGCCTGGTCGGTCCTTACATCATTTTGTAGATCATAATGGGTAATTAATGTCACATGCCTTGAGCATTAAGATCGTTTCCTTTGGAATGATAGATGAATGTCAACGATCTACCAAGTTTCTCTTCAAGTTCCTTTGCATGATTTATGTCAAGAATACCACCAACAGTTGTATTGACACTAATAGAATGTCTTGTAACAATTAACTCAATAGTAGAAAAATGTTTTTAGCCTATATTTCATATTTTTACCGCCAACCAATTATGCCTGTTATCACATGACATGAACGATAAAGTTTTGGATTTTCGAAGTTTAATGAAGCTACTTTTCAACATTGTTAGAGACATGTCTGATAGTATTTCGAGATATATATACAAACGAATTTCAGATAACTGTTCGTGTTTCACTAAGTATCAATATTATTCTGTCAAAAGATATGTTACATACCTTTCAATGTTTGATTACCAAACATTTATTTATCTAAACCAATCATATTACAACAGTGTGTGTAACATAGACTGATATGAAAATCATCGAATCTCAATGAATCACTGATAAAAAAAACATTTGATCAACATCGTTTCAAAATAACTGGTATGACTTGTAGAAGTCTATGTTGAATATTTCAGTTCAATTGATTATAAAATAGATGAATCGTGATCATCTAATTGAAACGAAAGAAGAACTAAAAACTCCGCTTTTACTAATCTTTGTCTATTTATTTTTTATCTATTTAGAAAAAATCAGAAGTATTGCCACGAAATTCAACAATGGGAAAGAGCCTACGTTTTCTTACAAATTAGAGTTGAGTCGCGTAAAAAGCATTATTTTTCAGGATCTCAAAGCATGAGACCCATTATTCGAATGCAGCAACAAAAAAATCTTCGACTTGTGTGACTTTATTGTACAACCGTAGATCGCTAACTATTTTCAGTCTAGAACTATTTAACTTGTTTGGACAAACATTCTTTTATGAAAATGAGAGAAATTGTATTTGAATAAGAAATGTCTGCCTTTCTGTCTCCGATAAGATTTTAGAAAACTTAACAAGACGAAAAAGTATTCAACCATTAATATTGATTAAATAAAATACTGCAGTGTATTGCTATCGATAGTTTGTTGTAGTATTTGTATAAAAAAAAGAAGAATATTAATCAAGAATAAAGTTTTCAAAGTAAAAATTGATACTGCATGATGAGCTATGTTCTTCTCATTGATATATACATAGATGTTTTATCTTGTCGTGTTTTACATTGAAATTATCTTTAAAAATATTGATGAATAAAAGTAAAATGTACATGATATTATTCGATAATAGATTTTTATGAAAAGTTTAAAATATAATTGAATTGATTTGCACATAAATAC